GCTCCCCAGAGAGGTCCGCCTGGTGCTGTCATTATTTGCTTTTCAGTGCCAGGCGAAGACCTTTTTATTTAAAAGTTATTTTAACTGTTAATTTATTATTATTGTATTTATAGATTTTAATATATAGCCGAGATTGTACCAGTTTTTAAATTATTGATTGTGGTATATTGTATTTTTGTGGATGTTGTGAGCCGCCCTAAGGCTTTGTTGTGATGGGGGTGGCATAGAAATGTTTTAAATAAATAACTAAATAGGAACAGGACTGAAAAGCCCTTCAAGTAGGGGACACCTTCAGATAGAAAACTGTCCTCTGTAAAAGATGGACATATTCTTTGCAGTGTCTAGCTTTTAATCCTTCTTTCCAGATTGTTTTCATTGACAAAATCTGCTGAAAGATGTAATTGTCTAGTGAAGAATATCTGTATGCTATTATTTGAATGAGGATTTGTGTGAATGTTCTTAGGACATGTACACGGGGAGCAGTGGGGAGGGACTGGGTTGAATCTAGTCCTACTCACACTTATAATAGAACCACTGAATCTACAGGACTATTTGCATCTCAGTATGATTGAGTTTGCATCTAACCCATGATCTCCAAGCCATTTGAAAGTATTTAGGACATGTCTTTCCTCTAGGAATCCTGGAATGTATCACTGTGCAAGGAAACTGGAGAACTCCAGTCTCACTCACTAAACTAAAGGGGCTCTGCTTGCTAATGTCACCTTGTAACTTAAGTTTGGCTGTGCATTGCTTGCAATTGCTACCTACAGCCTGTTATTTCAGCCTCTCTGTTTGACATTGCATGGGTCTCCTAATACCTGTGAGTTGTTCCTAGTACAGAGGCTTTGTCAAATAATAGTAATTGAAGTAACCAGAGCAGATGTAGGAGTGGTAGTAATTTGTCACCAGTCACGGTTCAGTTTGGTCAGAGGTTGTATTCCGAGATTCTAAGATGAGCTGTAATCTAACACATAAAATTTGGATTTGGAAAATGGAGTTGCCTTCTATTGATATGTGAGCTTCCTCATGATTAGGGTTTCTGCTTTTCATTATGACAAAAGGTCTGTGCCATTAACAGTTGTATAAGCAGCAGAAATCAGAAAGGTGCACAGCTTTAACCAGCTCTCCCTTTCCAGACTTGCAAAGCTCTGTGTCTTGAATTCTTGAACACCACAGAACTGTTTCTAGTACATAGCTCAGTGAAATAAAAAGATACCAACCCTATTAAATTTCAGTCAATTAAAAAGGTGCAAAACCATTTTTCGGAGTTGGGAAAGAGACTTCAGTAGGCAATGAATGTTCCAAAAACACTTCATGTATGCATGGACGGAAGGATAGGTAGATCACAGATAGAATACCACATAGATAGTGGAGCAATTTATGTATCACTCCAAAAATACAAAAGACAACACATGCATAATATTTGCATAAGCTAATTTAAATGTATGGATACAAATTTATAGCTGCCAATTTAGAAATAGGTACTATAATTTAATCAGAAATGATATGACATGCCACAGTGAGGAGGGCTATGTCTAGGTGACCTATGAGTCTGCTCAGTCAGCTGTCCAGATGTTCAAGTGTAGATGGGCAGTTTCAGGGTCCCTGCTTCTCCTCCCCCTAGTTCTTTATCAGTAAATTAACCATCCTTTCAGACAGAGGAAACCTTCAAATAGAAGCTCATCCTCTGTAAATAGAACCTATGGCTGATCTTCATGAAAACTTGTGCTACACTGTAGTTTAGTCTTCAAATTCTGCAGGGCTTCAGTGGGGTGGCATAAACATGACTGAAGAGTAAAACTGAAGAAGACATAACCTTCTCCAACCTGGTGCCATCCAGACAAGTATGTGGACTACAGAATGGACAATTGGCTTGGTGGTTATACTCTAAAAGCTCCCAAACTTGAAAGGTTGGCTTGATCAGACAGCATGAGCAATTATTTATGGGTAATATAGCTTTACTCTTCTACCTACTCCACAGTTATGGCCCAAGTTTCAGCCTCACCCTGGAAGCATCACTGGGTTCATTCTGGCTTGATAATGCAAAATGTGATGACTCTCATATGATCTATGAACTGAATCCACTGAGGTGATACATTAGATGATATCTGTGTTTTCAAGGGGTGAATTGAACTGGCTTCCCCAATTCACCACCCCATTTACAGGTGGAAAAATATGTATTAGAGAAGGGACAGGAATCTTTGAAACTTTTTGCTGCCATCTGCGATAGCACAGTAGTTGCTCTCAAAAGCCAGAATTTTTTCTTCTCCAGAAAGTCTGAGGAATCATGATGTAGCATCATTTCAAAAGAGTTTCTGGTGAAGAAAAAAATGGCAGCTACTATTTACACCACCTCCTCGGAAATACCTTTGGTGTTCCAAGAATATCTAGGGGAGTTAAAACAAGGGCTCCTGAAATAGATTCTGTGTGTATGTGAGTGCAGGTGTGTGTGAGAGAGACACTACTACTTCTCTGCCCCCAGCACTAACATGCTCCAGATATTTCCTCCAGTCTGGGGCAGAGATACACACAGCAAACATGCACTTAAAGTTTGACAACTCAAACTTCTGGCTTAGCCAAAGTTTGTGTAAGCTGTGTGTGTTAACATGACATTTCCACAGTACATGATTAATGCAACAAAGAGGTTATAGAAATAGGTGTATCAAATGAAAATGGAGAATAAAAGCAACCACAGTGGAGAAATTAACGGCATGCTAGTTTTGGATTGATATGACATTTATCTTCTCAAGTGATGTTGTCAGCTGTCACGGATGAATGAGTGGAGATCAATATTAAGTCCTCGGTATACTTAGATGCATTGGGTTGCCATCTTTTGTGTCTGCTGTAAGCAGTTAAGAGGGCATTCTGAAATGGAATACAAAAGCATAATGAAAAATAAAAGGACAATACAAAAACAATGAAAAAGCAGAATCTTTGTATGCTCTGACTTTGCAATTATTACAGGTGGTTATAAAGTTGCTAATGATATTTGTATTTGATAATTCACTACAAAAAAGATGAGTTACTTTTATAATACACTTTCATTTCTTAGTCTGTCCTTACAAGTTCGAATGAATTATCTGTTCTTCTGAAAAGAAATATCAGATAAATACGATTAAAGCAATTTCCTTGTACTCATTATTGATTGACTAAGAGCAATTTTTGCTAATCTCAGAGGAATGGGATTTATTTCTTCACATGATAAAACAGAAAAGGCTTATCAGAGTAAATGAAACATTATTAATAAGTAATTTACATATTTAAAATTACTTTGCACCATTTGGTGTGAAACAAGAAAGGGCATTTATTTTATCCAAAGTTCTTTCAACATATGTGAAAAAGCTTTTTATTTCAACTAAACTCTTCCATCACATTAATTGTCTTAAATATATATTAATCATTTTGAAAAGATGTGACCACCCTTTTCCAGCTTTGCAACACTAAGTTTCCTTTTTATTAAAGAGACATGAAACAAATGTGAGTATATAATATGTAGTAAACAAGAGGGAAAGGGATATACCTCTGAGGCAGAATCTATGTGTTACATGTGGGAAGTCCATGGTTCAACCCTAGGAGCTTCTGCCAGTCAATATAGGACATACCAAGCTAGAAGAACTGGTGGCAGCCTCCTCTTTTCCTAACCACGACTCTAAGTTAGTAGCAAAGCAGTTCCGGCAAGCATACTGCCACTTGTTGCTTAACTATGGGAAACTGCACCACTAGTTCTGATTCTGAAATAGTGACTAGGCTCAGACAACATGACAATCTACATTCGGAGATTAAGTATGAATTGGGTATAGGTTGTTGCTGAACCACGGATTGTTGAATGCGGGTTATTGTGCTGTCTGAGCCCAACTATCCTAACAAGCCTTGACTTGTTAACCAAATATAACATGTGTTTGTGGCATTTGTTACTGCATTGTAAGCTGTTGTTTGCTCACCATAGTTCTATTACAATAACTAATGGTTCAATGACAACCCATACTCAACCCATATTCAAGTCTTGAGTGTGGGCTAGTGTGTTGTATGAATGCAGTCAAGTATATCAGTGAAGTATATTGCTAAAGAAGAAGAAACACCACTATCATAGAGTGGTTAGAGTTATCAGAAGATCCAACTCTAGTCCCCGCTTGGCCATGAAGCTCACTGGGTGACTTTAGACAGGTCAACAACTCAGCAAACCTACTTCAGACTTGTGAGAATAACATGGAGATACAGGGAATGCTGAGGGGGGAAGGGCAGGATAAAATGTCAGAAATAAATAATTGTGATGCTTGTGTGTTTTTAGATCTGGAAAGTCTTTACTCCATTGGCATATATTTAACAAGGACTCTTTGCCAATAAACAATTCACTAAAGGGGTGTGGGAACTGGAATGCTTTCAACCATGGAGACATACTAGTTACAGTGGGAATAGTTTCTGGGGCAATTTACCACTGCTAGTACTATTGAACATGTCCCCCAACTATTTGCATAAGTATTACAATACAGAAGAACTTACACTATATTAACCCAGTAATCAGTTTCTAGCAAAATGAACACACCCATACAGTCACTCATTTGTTCACCTATTCAGCTTTCTACCATGTTACTATCAACATATGTGAATTAACAATGAAACGGAGAGCTTTAATTCCTGCAGCTCACGAAGGGTTCACACCTGGGGCAACTATCTAACAGTACATCTACCATAAAGTTTATATGACATTCACAGGCTCTTAAGAGTATAATCCTATGCATGTCTTCTCAGCCTACTTAGGTCAATGGGATTTATACTCAGGTGAATGCATACAGGATTGTTGTAGTAAATTACTATTTACTTGTTATAGTAAATTACTATCCTTGTTGTAGTAGATTACTATCCTCTCTTATAAAATTTTGTTTGTTCATTTTCTTTCAGCTTCAGAAATGGAGGAACTTATCTAAAGAGGATCCAACCTGACATCCTACTGAAATTCATTCTCCTAAAGACTCTGGCTTTGCTGTTACAGCCTTGCTAGGATGGCCGAAAAGGCTCCTCCAGGGATAAACAAAAAATCCTCAAGATCTACCCAATCCCTTCCACCAGAACCTGTGGAGATAATAAGAAGCAAAGCATGTTCAAGGAGAGTCAAAATCAATGTAGGTGGACTCAACCATGAAGTTCTATGGAGGACTTTAGATAGACTTCCCCGGACACGATTAGGGAAGCTCAGAGACTGCAACACTAATGAATCCTTACTAGAAGTATGTGATGACTATAATCTCAGTGAGAATGAATATTTTTTTGATAGACATCCAGGTGCTTTCACCTCCATTTTGAATTTCTACAGGACTGGGAAGCTACACATGATGGAGGAAATGTGTGCACTCTCTTTTGGCCAGGAACTAGATTACTGGGGGATTGATGAAATATATTTAGAATCTTGTTGCCAGGCAAGATACCATCAGAAAAAAGAGCAAATGAATGAAGAACTAAGGAGAGAGGCCGAGACAATGAGAGAGAGAGAAGGGGAAGAATTCGATAATGCTTGCTGTCCAGAGAAAAGGAAAAAACTCTGGGACTTGCTGGAGAAACCCAACTCATCTGTAGCTGCAAAGGTAGGATCAATAATGATTGATCAAATAATCAATAATTTTTAAGGTTATAGATACATCAACATGTCTTGATGAGCTTCACCGAAAATTTATAATAGGGATTCTAAGCATTATCTGTGTAAATGTGAGTTTTCTTTCTCTTTTTTAAACGAGTGTGGGAAAAGAGAGGTTAATCCTAAAGACTCTGGAAAATGTTGCCCCATGGGTTCTGTGAGTTTTCTGTAAGTCCCTTCTCATTTTCTTCTCTATGCCATTTGTCAAACTAGCCCCTAGATTTTGAGATTCCTCAGGGAAACTTTGGTGTAGTGTGGTCAACTGTGAATGAATAATAGAATGGTCAAGTCCTGGCTTGCATGGGCCTAATGAACAGGGATTCTGTTACTATAATTAGTTAGATAGTTGGTTATTTAGTTAGACTAATGCTCAATACAATGAGGTGCAATCCTACAGCTGCAAGGTTTGTCAGATGTCCTTCCTCTGTCTTTGCAGCTGGCACAGTTCTTTCTATACCGACTGCCTCTCCAAAGTCAGAATGCTGGCTCCAGAGCCAGTACTGGGAGGACATTCCACCAAGCACACTAGAGGAGTGAGACACTGCCATCCTAGGAGAAATCCTGGCAGCATTTCTGTCTCCTCTCCTCACGAGCCAGTAAAAGCACACAGACAGCTAAAATTGCTCATAATCCTCTTGTGTTTTGAGGGTTGCAGGAAGCCCATTAGATCACACTGGAAGAATGTTGTTTTGCTTTGCTTACAACTACCATCTTATGAATGCTTACCTGAAAGTAAATCCCAGTAAATTTAATGAAAATTACTGCAGAATTGATCTGCAAATGATTTGGATGATTTTGCTGTGTTCTTTGCCATTTATCTCCTTGTTTGGGGGGAAGTAATGTGTGATATATCAGCTCTAACTTCAGTTCAGTTTCACAGTGGTCGGTGGCTAAATTTCCACAGGTAAGATGAAGCATAGTACTAGGCCAATCTTGGGTTTCTTTGTAAATCTTATATAAATCTGTATTTTGTTAGCTGACCAGCCTTTAAAAATAACTTGGCAGTGTGTAATTAAAATAACAAGCATCACTGATGAACCGTCCAGTCAAGATGATGTTTGAAAATGAAGGCTAATCTTTTAATGCCACATTTGGACATAACAATAAACCAGAACTGGTGGATGACAGCTCCATGCCTCTGACTCCTAGTTTATTATCTGGAAGTAACAGGTGCCAGGGTTTATCCTTCTAGAACATGAGTCTGCCTGTGTTTATGCTGTCTGTTGAAAGTGCTGCCTATGCTGACCCAGAATCTCTGCACCAACTAGCTGTGCAGTCAAGATCCCAGAAAGCAGTCTGAAGGAGATGGGGCATATCATTGAGCTGACACTCCAGATTCCCTACAGAACAAGGGCTAGATCAAAAGCTCCCCACAATCTGGGCAACTCACTTATCCAGAAGCTACTGGTGTCAAGTACAGCTGGCCTGCCTTCTGTCTCTCTAGGAAAGCAATGACTTTGAATGAAGTCATCAAGGAATAGAAAATGAAATGTTGTTATTTTACATAATCCAGTGCTATTGTTCTTAGTTTACCCTGGGGAAATGCAGGAGTTGAAGACAGTCCACACAACTGAGGACAAGCTAGTTTTGATATTCAGAGTACACCTGCACCACGAGCATATGTTCAGTTTCATAAATCAGATGTGGCTTTCTGAAAAGAATCCTCTGGGTTGCAGTGGTGATAAGAAAGGGTGATTGGAGAATATGTAGGCATGTGTTAAACATAGGAACTGCTCAACTGGCAAGTGCCTCACAATGGTTTAAAAGCATATTTTTTAAAAATACCATCCAAAAATTAATAAAATAAGAACCAAACCAATAATACAACAATGCAAGTATCTCCCTGTCATACCTATTAAAGATGCAGCAGGCATGTTCTTAATCAGAGAACCAAATTAAAGATGAAAAGCCTGCTGGGACACAAATGTTTTGACCTGGCTTCTAAATGTACACAATTATGATACCAGACAGATTTTTACAGGAAGGGCACTCAACATATTCTTCATTCTCACAGTTTCTGGGGTTCCCAGAGAAGAAGAAATGACTGTTAAATCAGTTTAGATCTATAATGTAGGCAAACCTTCATTTGTTTTAATGCTGGCAAGCACAGCATAACAAAAGGAGACATTGAAATCAGTACCGTCCAGCCAGTCTTAGTCAGGGTGAAGGAACACTGCACTCATTGCAGGCAGGCATGGATGATGGACATGCATAGATGTTATTTAGCATACCCAAGAAAAGTTTATCAGTCTTGATAGCTCTGAAATTTCATATCAGGTTGATTTGTCCCTAGAGATCATCAAGGAAAAAGGGCAGAGGAGTAGTGTGTGTCTAAAATAAACTTGAGCTAGGGCCACTGAGGATGATGGTATTTATCCTCACAATCTAACACATTAGGTTAGAGAGGCTTGCACTAGTGGCACTGCACAGGATAATATGAAACATCTTGAAAATCACCAGTGAGTGTTGCTCTTCAGAAGGGCTGACAGTGCCTACGTGCAAGAGCAGAGCTCTTCCTGATCCGATGGATGGGCTTCAGCTATGCTGGTGCAACTAGGCACTTGTGCTACATCTACTGAAGCATGAGTATATACCTGGCTGGTGAGCCTTGCCAATGAACCTTTGCCTCTATGCTAATACTGGAGAAAGCAGGCATATATTTCTTCAAATTCCAAGGTGCTGAGCCTGAGGCCCAAGTTACACCTTGGAGAAACTCTTGGGAGCCAGCCTCCAGTGATGGATGGGACTGAAGATGAAAGGTGTGGAACCAGAAAATACCACCTGGCAGTTCCTAATGCTCCTAACTAACCCTTTTGGCATCAGTGGGGGTGGGGACTATGAAGATCTGCAGAAAAGCAAGCAAACTAACAAATGATCAATAGTTAGGTGAAAGGGTGGTGGTGGTGAAGGGGTGCAGTTTTCTTGGGATCTCAGGAAGACCAGATTTACCCCATAAGCTTAAGGTTCTCACGTCTGGACTAGCTTGTTTGCTAGTCTTTGGGCAGTTGACAACAAATACAGATAATAATTGACCACATATATTTTCAGTGTCCTAAATTTAAAACAATGTATAGCTCAGTCCTACAGTGCACTCTTCAACAGCTAAAAACAATTTCCATATAAATACTAGGCATGTTAAAAAGTTAGCTGATATAAAGCCCCCATCAATTATTCTATAGCTCAGCCTCCCCCAACCATGTTCCTTCCAGATGTTTCGGACTACAGCTGCCAGCATTCCTCACTTTTGACTTCAGTGGCCAGGGGTCATGGGATTTGTAGTCCAAAATATCTGGAGAATTCTAGGTTGGTAAAGTCTCCTATAGCTTATATGAACCAAAATGACACAGATGGAGACAGGGGTATCCTAGGAATCTACTGTATTTGTAACTGAAGTGTTAGGATTTGTTTTTCACTTCATCATATAGGAAGAACATGATGGCCCTTGGTGTTGTGGCATTAAGATCCTGTGAACTATACAGCAGCCTTCCCCAAGCTAGTAACACCCCCCGCCCCAAGGTGTTGGTTATGCTGTCTGGGAATGCAAGAGGTTCTGGTTCACATCTGGAGCGCTCCAGGTTAGAAAAGGCTGCAGTAATGGATGGGTCAGAGTTTCTCCAAATTACATAATACTGACATGAAAACTATGCAATTGGGCACTGCACCTATGAAGCATTTTGTACAGAACAAATACCTCTAGTACAGATATTTGTCCTTTGTCCTTTGTCACAGTGATAAGTGCACATTCTGCTTAATCTGAGTTAAAGTTTATTTTAAAATTATGGCTAAGATTAATACCCTAAATTTGTGTACATACTGCAAAAAGTATTAACTGTTCACGGGACACAGACTATATATTGCTTTTGAAAGTGCCTTTAAAACGTGTTTCAAAGAATTATCTCTATGATTCCTTCTCCTTTTTATTTGGAATGTTTCATAAATCTCCACTTACTGGCTACAAATTCAAGATTCACATCATCAGTTAAGAAAAATGTAACTCTCTATCATTCTTACCAAGAAGCAAAGAGACTTCGTGGATCTGATCATTCGCATAGCCTAGTATTCACTGTTGTTGTGGGGGGTTTTTCATAGAAATGCATGGGAGATTATAAAAATGTGTGGAAGGATTAAGACCTCAGTTCAAGTCAACATTCATGATAGTATAAATAACTCAGCTTACCTATCCCTAATGGATAACTTCCTGTAAGCAGAGAGCTTTTCTGCTCTATATTGAAAGATTAAAGTTTATTATGCAGGGTAGGTACACACAACGCATTACCTTATCTGCATGTTTTGTTCAAACTATGTCATTGAAACCACAAGACATTACTTTCATAGTCCATGCATATGTGGCTGCAAAAGTACCTGCAGTTCAAGTAAATTCAGCTAATTCAGTCTAGCACCTCTAAAACTTACATGGTGTTAACGGTGGTGCAATAGCTAGCAGGGGCATACTGAGAGCTGCAGATCTTTTTTTTCCGTCTGTGAATGCATAGAATAGCTTCTTAAATAGATCAAAGTGCTTCTGAAATAATAACTGCTTTGTCCCTATGTTGTCAGGCCAGTATGTTTTCAGGAACTAGCAGAAAAAGATAGAGAACTAGATACCATTTGCAAATATAATGTAGATAGAGCCAATCAGGTTACAAAATAGCTGGAGAACTCCTGTCCTCCTATAAATTATTTTATAATAAAGGTATTATTTTTAAAAATCATGTCTATTGGCATTCTATGTAGGTTTGGTGGCTAATCTCTAAAAAGAGAATCATCAGGTCCTAGCCCTGCCCATCTCAGAGAGAGGCCTTCTCCTCTGCCCCTTGTGTTTGCAGGTAGGATTGTACGCATGATGTCATTCAGCAGAAGAGTATGGGGAGGAAAATTCTGCATGTTCTCATAGACACTCCTTTATCATTCTTTCTATAGAAATATTCTAGCATGGAGAAAAGCCTCTAG